GTGCACGCGGGCCTCTCCCATGCCCCTCTGGCACTGCCGCTGCTGGCACACACCGGCCACTACCGGGCTGCTCCATCATCGCCGCTGCAGGCTCGTGCAGACCTCTCCCGGGGTCCTCTGGCGCCACTGCTGCCAGCATGCACAGGCTGCTCCAGGGGTGCTTGGTTGCTGCCGCGCCGGGCTCTCACGAGCCACTCCCGGTCCCCTCTGGCGCCGCCAGCACACGCGGGCTGCTCCCAGTTCCCTCTGGCGCTGCCGCCCCCGGCGCATGCTGCCACTCTCCCACTACTGGGCCAGTGTGTTGGGGTCCATGCCAGTTGGCGGAATGACTGGCAGAGCTGCTTAGTGCCATGAGGGGCTTCAGAGCTGCGCCACCGCCCAGGGTGTTAGGGTGCCTAAAGTTCCCTGGGATTCCCAGCTGCTGGCTAAGTGTGCCGGGACGACTTCGTCCAGCTGTGGGGTCCCTGTCTCTTTAAGACTTGCAGAAAGCACTCACTTTTCTTTTGTCTCAGGGGTGCTGGTTGTGGGGACCTGCCCGCAGGTTTTGCTTTTCCATTTCTCTAATATCCAGCACCCCGTGCACCTTGTGTCTGCGCTCCGGGTGCGGATTTCTAGAGCTGGTTGTTTAGCAGTCCTGGGCTTTCACTCCCTCCCTGTTCTGACTCCTTTCTTCCTGCCAGGTTCTGGGGTGGGGGGTGTTCATGTCCCACCTGACTGCGGCTTGTATCTTACCCCTTCGTGTGATGTTGAGTTCTCGCAGATATAGATGCATCTTGGCTGTTGTACTGTATCCACTGGTGTGTTTTTTAGGAATAGTTGTATTTATTGTATTTTCATAAATATATGTTTTTGGGTGGAGATTTCCACTGAACTACTCACGCCGCCATCTTCCCGTTCCATCTAGATATTTTTTAATTTACCAAATTATTTCAGTCTTAGTTTATACTTCCCTATCTTATTTCTAAGGTGGGAAGACTGAGTTTAAGGCACTGCTGAAATCCAGACTCAGTGTGTCTCTCTTTTCTGACATAGGGGTCTGTTTGTCTGGAATGTTTTCCATAGGGCCTGTATACACTGGCTCCTGCTCCTTCTCCAGACTTAACCTGGTTCTATTCTCTCACTTGTCTCTACCCCAGCTCACTTCCCTCTCATTTCCTCAAATGCCTCAGCTTCCCTCTTCCCCAGGACATTTGCACGTTGTGTCCACCTCTTCCCCTAGACAACTGCTACTCATCATTAGCTTATATATATATATGGACCCTTAAGGCAAGCCTTCCCCAACCTACCAAAGTAGGTCAGGTTTCCCCTTGACATGCTATCGCATTCTGTGATTTAGTAATTATTTGTGTAATTATCTGGTAATGCCTTCTTACCCACTAGACTGAGTTCTTGGAGTAGGAGCTGTGTCTTTCTTGTTCAGTGTTTTATGCCCAGGACCTAGCACAGTATCTGTCACAGAGAAGTAACTATCTGTAAGCAAATTGTGGTCTCAGTTTGTCTGCAAAATGAGATCTACCTCATTGGGTGGCTGTGAGGATTAAATTAATTAATACCTGTAAAGCACTTAGAACAGTGCCTTGCACAGAGTGAATGCTCCAGAAATGTTGCTGTTATTATTTTTAAAAGAATACTTGAAAAAAAAAAAGAAAATAAAGTATTTGTTGAGCATCTACTCTGTGCCAGCAGAGTTCTTGAGTGGTGGCTGACTGAAGGCAGACTTGTAGTCTGTGAACCCATACTGCTGTTCTTCTTTTTCTAAATCACTGAAAGACACTATTTAGTAGATGAGCCTGGAATTTTGCAATGGAGGAACATCCTATTTACTAAGTTGTTGGTGTCAGAATTTATCTTCCCCATCCCATGTGTAAAATTATAATACTTGACCACATTTAGCCTTCTGGTGAGAGGTGTGCACTGTTCTCTGTTATTGGTCAAAGGTTTTGTCTACAAATTTTAATTCCTTTGAGCTTAGATCATCTAGCCTGGAACCTGAGCTCCTTCAAAAGGCCTGGAGGCTTTCTTTTTGTTTTTTGGTACCTTGTGTTTTATTCTCCCTTAATAATTTTTTTTAAATCTTAAACTTGTTTGTTATCAGTCCTTAAAAACAATCAATATTATGCTCTAATAAAATGATCAAGGTACACACAAACCAGAGGCTTTTCTTGTTAACAGTGTTCATATGTTTTGCCTGTAGATCACCACCCCCAGACCCTATGCCACTCACATATCCTGAATATTCTTCATGGTTTTGTCAGCCAGTTAATGGGCCCAGTATGTTTTCCTACAGAACAAGGAATTCAGCTCTCTATTGATTGATAGGCAAATCATACAGAAGAAGATATCTATATCTATATCTGTCTATCTCTATATATTATCTATCCACTTTGATAAATTGTGTATTTCACAAACAGCTGAAGTCATCCATCCATCTGTTCTTCCAACAAACATTACCAAGTCTCTCACTTTAATTTAGTGGCTGCCAGATTCTAGGAATATAAGGAATAAGACATAAGTTTTATCCTGTGGGATGCAGTGGGGGAGGACATCAGTTCTATTTAACATGACAAGTGCTGAATACCCTGGATCCTGGGCAGGACCTCTTCAGTGACTTCCCCTAGGCTCTCCACCCGGAGCCAAGCAGTTGTGGGTCTTGGAGTCTTCTCTTCAACTGTGATCTGCCCAGCTCGCTGTTCTGCTTCTCCATGTAGTCCGAGAGTGTGGCAGTCACCACTTGTCACTTCTTTCTGGCCTTCTGAATTGCACTGGGGTCACTCTATGCACTGGTGCATCTCTAGGTATCTAGGCAAGTCCTTTTACTTTACATCCTTCTTGCTTATGCTTTCTTTCCTTAACTTGTCTTCCTCCTGATCCTGAATCCACATTTCCATTAAAATAAATGCAGATATTTGTACCCTCAGCATGAATAATCATATTTAAAGAGTGAACTTTTAAGTTCCAAACAGATCATTAAGATCAGGTACATTATATCACATCCTTTTCAATGACCCTCCAAAGAGCAGTTTCTTAGTTAAGATATTGATCTAATCTATATGACTGTCAGTTTTACTTGGTATTCACACATTACCCCATAAATTTTAAAGAAAGCTGATTGTCTTTTAAGACTAGGAAGTCTTTCTCTCACCCATCAGCATGAAAAAATGTTAGTACAAGCACCACACAAAATAATTGTGGCTTCTCTGCCATCATTCTCCACTGTGAAAACACAGGCATCTCAAGATCTTTGGGGCCAGGCAGGTTATAAATACTTGTGAAGCAGTGAGGTGTGAGGCAACAGAGAATGGTGGACATGATGGCAAACTGGTGGACTGCTGCTTTTGGGATCCTGATCTAAAATCACATTGTTTTGTGTTGCAGATCTCCTACAAATATCTTATTATTGCTCTTGGAATCCAGCTGGACTATGGAAAGGTACTATTTTAAACTACTGTGTTATACTGACTTATGCCAAGATCAAATGCCACCTTTAGTTGTTTTATATTCATTTTGACAAAGTTCTAAGAAATCCTCTTCATTTTATTTCTCAGCAGTCTTTTTATGGTTCTAAAAAACATCTTCTTTAAAATTCTGTCAGTGCTTATAATATATTTTAGCTTTAAGCTTTAATCAGATTTCATCATGTCCATGTCCTAATGGCAATTCTTGCAAAGCAGCAGCCTTTTCCACAATTACAAGAAAACTTCCGTTCATTGTAGGACTTGAGTTGGCTGTATTACAGATTAAACTTTCCTTTGAAAGTAAGGTTTAGATTATGAAATTCTAAGCAGACTTTGGATAGAACACCAGTAGTTAGTTCATCAGGTGCCGGAAGGATGTCTGGGTTTTGTATAGAGGCCAGGGTTTTGGGTGTGGAGTGACTCACACAATATAAATGCTACCCTAGAAGTTCCTTAGATCTCCCATTTCAGTGAGCCCGGGAGCCAGGTGTTATCTGACAATTGTGAGATTCAAGTTTGTTTTTCTAAAACATCATGGAATAAGTCAGTAATGATTGCAATTTCCAGAAGCTTGTTGGGGACTGTGGGCAAATATTTGGAGCACATAAAGCACAGTGATAACCAGGCCACAAACTGCAGGAATGTGATCCAGGCAAGCACCGCAGCTAAGCTGGCTCAGTAAGGGTCTTTAAAGTGTGTTTCTGCATTAAAAAACCCAAATTATGACATGCCCAGGGTGAGAGTTGTGAAAATATCCTGGGATATGTTCTGAGAAGGTTCAAAGAAGCCATGAGTTGGGGTAAATAAAGGTGGTAAGATGAATTTGAGTCATGGTACCAGGGGTCATGATGAATTTAATGACAAACTGAAGTAGACTATATGGAGAAAGGGGCCAGTTACCCCTTGTGGGAGGTCCATAGCTCTCCAGAAAGCCTCCACCAGTGTGGATTTAGTGAAGACAGTGCATCTCCAGGACACTCTCTACCCAAGAGTCCCAGTGCCGTGTGAGGAGGACTGTTTGAAGAGACTACTGCAAGGGCCCTTAGCAGCTCATTGGAACAAACCAAGAAACAAAATAGCTATTATTACTTTACAAATAAAGTAGCTATTATATATCCCATGTCCCAGGGACCATGCTAGGAATCCAATATTGATTCCTTGCAACTGCTTGAGAGGTAGGTATTTTTAATTCCGTTCAACAGATGAAGAACTGAGGATGAGAGAATGTAAATAATGTCCTCAGAGCTACTGTACTACTCGGTGCTCTGGCTGTAGGTACTAGAAAACCACTTGGGCTGGTGGAAACAATAAAGGGGATTTATTTGATGAAGACACTAAGGTGCCCAGTCTCCGGGGCAGGAGTGTAGGTGGCCTATCAAGGGTTGAATCTCCCACCTGGGTTCTGTTGGACCCCAGGCAGCCTCTCTCGGCCCACCTGTCTCTGGGTTCTGTTGGACCCAGGCAGCCTCTCTCGGCCCACCTGTCTCTGCCTTTTTTCTCACTGGCTTTGTGGGGCCTCTGCAGTGTGCTGACCTGCTTGGTCAAAGGGGGAGTGAGCTGGCATCTCTTTTTCTTACTCTCCCTGCTTCCTTCTGCAACTCAGATTGGATGAGGAGTCATAAACCATCCTTTGTGACCAGGTCTCCCTAAAAGGAATTTGGTTACCACTTTATAGCACCTTTTCCTAAACAACTTCTTCAGACAAGAGAAAAATAATGAAGGAGATGAGAGATCAGCTGTTTGTCTATCTCTTGGATAGTGAATTTTGCTTTGGGAACCAGGAAGTGTGAAGGTCCATTGAGAAGAACCCTAGCCAGTGGTCAGGGGCCTTAGCATCTAGTTCTGTAAAATTCTAGGTGGGCCTCTCAACCTTGCTGTACTATAGTTTCCTTATCTGTGTCTATGAGCCAGGAGTATTTGCCTACCTCCCTCAGAAGTGTATAGTGTATAACCAATGTTAGCATACACGTGAAACTTCAGGAACATTAAAATGCAAGGAGATTTTATACTAATGGTAGTTATTTTTGCTAGGACTGCTCATATTATAACTGCTGAAACTATAGCAGAGAATGGTCAGTAATCAGAGGAGTGGTGCTCTTAGCACTGAGTGCTGTGGAGGTGATCATAGGGCTCTGCTTACCTGAGACCTGAGGCATAGGGGCCCAGTGACTCTCGAGGTGGTTGCCCTACAGTTGAGAACAGCCTGGGGAGGTTCTGAAGGACCAGCCCATCTTGATGGCTGTTCTTTGATGTTTCTCTGCTCCTGCTGGAAGAACTGTGCTGGAGTGTCTTAATCTGTGCCATCTTCTCTGCATGAACCTTCTAAAATTTCAGACAGGTATCCAATTAAGTGTACTGACAGGCTACTCTAACACAAATCACTTACCATGGGTATGCCATTTTTCTAAGCACTTTACATGCATGGTCTCATTTATTCTTGCCAGCAACCCTATGAAGCTTTTATCCCCATTTTACAGATTTAATGATGCAATAAGCTTCTTAGTGCACATCAGAATCACCCAGAGGGCTGGTCAAGTAGATTTCTGTGCTGCCCCCAACTTTCTGATTCAGTAGGTCTGGGGTAGGCCCTGATTTGCATTTCTAGCAAGTTCCCCAGTGGTCCTGGTCTGGAGACCACACTTGGAAATCCACTGGCTTAGAGATATTAGGAATTTACTGAGGGTTACAGTGCTTATGAATGAAAAAGCCAGGACTCAAGCCAGGTCTGTGGGTCTCCCAAGTCCATGTTTTTGATTACCTGTCTTTTCTGCCTTTATAAGAGTTTGATCTGGTATAACCTGATACAAGGTAATTTAAGTTTGCTATTACTGACAGTATGGCTCTTCATTCTTCCTATAGTTCTTCTTCCCAGTAAGGCACCTGGCTCTCCAAAAAGACAGTATGCTTAGCTTCTTGTCTTAACTCTGATGGTGGGAAGAGAGTTGCTCAAACCATGCTCTCATGGCCAGGGAAGCAGAGGGATTCCCTTGGGCTGAGCCCATTCTGCAGTGACAGGTGACTCGGAGCACCACAGCTGTGGTCTAAGCATGTCACTCTCCCACCTGCCTGCTCCACTGTGTGTGAAAACTGGGGACATGCTTGAGAGATATGTATGTCATTTAACAGAGAACAAGGACGCTACACAAAGACTATTTGCACTTCTGTTAAATAATTTCTTGGTGTGCTTTGTTGCAGATTAAAGGCCTACCCGAAGGTTTTGTCCACCCCAAAATAGGGTCCAATTATTCAGTTAAGACAGTAGAGAAGACATGGAAAGCTCTGCAGGACTTCAAGGAAGGCAATGCTATCTTTACCTTCCCAAATACTCCGGTAAAGTGTGCTGGAGCCCCACAGAAGATCATGTACCTATCGGAAGCCTATTTCAGGAAGGTATGCTTCTTCCTAGGGACAGAGACAAGGAAGGCAGATGGTGCTAATTCAGTGAATGTCAGATTATATTTTTATCCATGTCAAAGTACCTTTTCTATTGCTAAATTTTTGTTAAATATGTGCAAAATTATGAAATTGGAAATTTAAACAGTAGAAAAAAATAGAGGGGTTTTAGCAGGTCTTGCATCAAATAGAAGTCATCACTCACTATCTAGCTGCTTTAATACTGCTGCTGTCATCAATTTGACATGTCCTTCCATTTTTTTCCTTAGACCTTTTTTTTAACATGGTTGTAATCATACTGTATATACAAATTTAGATGCATTACATGTTATTAAATAGTTTTTGTAACATACTTTTTAATGTGTGTGTAAAAGTTTACTGGGGAGATGTGTTAGAGGTTGTTAAAAATATTTCCATGTAGTTAGATGATTGCACATTGTTCATTTTTATACTTAATAATATCCTTAGTTGCTCCCACCCAAGTTCAAGGTTATGAATATTTTCTGGCTCTTGATATGTATTTTTGGAAATATAATAGGTAAAATGCCAATTCCAAAGGCAAAATAAAAGGTTCGTGGAGAACTTCAAACCTCAGTGGAAAGAGGTATTTGAGTGGGGTGCTTTCTCAGCATTCCTCAAACACCCAATGTCAGAGCCAGTGTCCCAGCTCAAGGACACCAGCAGGAAGCTACATGGAAGCTGTTCTCTCCTTTCTGCCCTCGTGTGGCATGTCACATTTGGTTTACCAACATGTCTTGACTTGAGACAGTGGCAGGATTCAAAATAGCTTGTGGTTCTGCAAAGAGACGGGTGGGGAGAAGAGAAAGTGGGGACTGAAGAGGGCTGACTGTGTGTTTGGAAGCAGCACCACGAAGGCCTTCACCTGAGTTAAGTAAACCTGCACCAGCCCTGTGGGTAGGGAGCTAAGGGAATCCAGTCATTGTTTCTGTTTGTAAGAAGGGTCATTCTGTGTCATGAGAAATCTAGGTTGGCACCTCCTTTTGGTGTTATTTCCCACCTTACTTTTTTCAAACAGTGTGATCCAGGTGAACAAGTCCTAAAAGACACTGAACAAAGGAAAAGAGTAAGAAACTAGCTGTTTCTTCCTCCCAGAATTCTCTTTGCATAACTCTTCTCTCCCAAGTCATGGATGACCTGAGAGGAAGTCTCTCAGGTGCCATAAGGTCTGAGGTATTTGGGAGAACACTGGCCTCTCTGAAGCATAGGAATACTAGAGCGCTTGAGCCAAGGGGATGGGACTTTATATGTTCACGGCTGTCCCCTCAGCACCTAGAACAGCCCCTGGCCACTCTAGGACCTCAGTACATATTTATTAAATAGATGAACAAATGAATAGAGGAACAAAATTTCAGCTCTGTTTTTCCCTGGGGTTGACCTTCATCTCTGGCTTTCAACTGAGCAGGATCCAGCTCAAGCCCTGACTCCAGTGTGCACTCAGTTGCAAAATCGCTGACAGAAAATCAGTAAGAGGCAGTGGATTGGTCCACTCCTCACCCCACCAGCGCCTAGTGATGGAGAAAGCTGGTGAGGTCTCTTCTGAAGATGCTCATTCTTGTCTAGGTTAAAAAAAAGAGGTAGCTGGGCTGGAGTAAGGCTTTGATGTTGGTTGTTTCTATTCTTTCCTTTTTCTCAGATGGGGAAGCGATCCAAGGCCAATATCATTTTCAACACTTCTCTTGGAACAATTTTTGGGGTTAAGAAGTATGCGGCTGCCCTTCAGGAGATCATCCAGGAGAGGAACCTCACTGTTAACTATAAGCAAAACCTCATTGAAGTCCGAGCAGATAAACAAGAGGCTGTTTTCGAGAATCTGGACAAGCCTGGAGAGACCCATGTGATTTCAGTGAGTGACGAGGTGAAGCTGTGAGAGTGCCATAGAAGTTGGTGACACTGCGGTGCCCCCTTCCCTGTCCACCATCATCCTCTGCTAGGGGAGGCTGGTTACAAAGAGCATCTTGGGCAGTGACAGGGGAGAAGGTGGACCAAAATGGGTGGGGAATAGAAAGAGTTAAGAGGCCGTGTCCGTGGGAGGTGAGGAGGCTTTTTCTACTGTATCCACTTTTGTGTCTCCTTTTCCTTGCACTGAATCACTTGAAGCAGCCAAAAAATTCACAACTTCAGTTATTGCCTAAAGTTCAAGAAGGGCTTCCTTAACTGCAGGATTTGCTGATTGTTTCAATTTGTGGTATGTGAGAAGCAGCCCCACCTGTGGGTGGTTTGGAAATGACGAGTGTCTTTCACATGGAAGAGGCTGTCTAGACATCTTTCACTTGTGCATAGAGAGAGGTACTTGAAAGACATTGAAAGATATAGCAGAGCCACACCCTACTTGGAAAAATTTAGCCTTTATATATTGGCTTGGCTTCTGTGTGTCCATTTGTATTCTGTGATGTGGGACTAGTACTTCTGCAGAGGTGTGTGAGGATTAAGAGCAAGATGGAAATATTGGGAGACGCATGTATGAAAGAATCATTTCTTTATATCATTCTGGCAAGAGCTGTTAGCAATGAGAAAAGAGTGCACAGTTACATTTTATTCACTCAGCATTTTTGGAGGAATGAAAGATTCCATAAAAAGGAATTTGAACTGAACTAAAGATTAATTTTATAAACATTAACACTTCACATTTTAAGCTTTTTAGTGTAAGCTCTTTCTAAAATATATTGTACACATCTTTCCTTTCTAAAATGGCCTGTATTGATTATCATTTAAAATGTTACTGATGACTCCAGGTCACACTTTAAAAACCTTTATTTGGAAATAATCTCAAACTTAAAGAAGTTGTAAAAATAAAAATAGTGCAAAGAAGACTACATAGAGCCACTATCTAGATTCACTTATTATAAAGTTTTGATCGCTATCTCTTCCTCTTTTGCTCCTAACATAATTTTCCTGAAGCATTTAAAGGGAAGTTACAAACATCATACATCATGCCCTTTATCCTAAATACTTCCCTGTTAATTTCCTAAGGGAAAGGGGTATTCTCTTACCTAATCACAGTGCAGTTATCAATTCAGTAAACTTACCATGGAAATGACATTTCAGTCTGTCATTTGAATTCCAGTTCTGTTGATTGACCAACAGCATTTATAGTTCTTTTCTCCCTCCACACAGAACTCAGTCTACAGGCAGGTCTTGTGTTTATTTGTAATGTCTCTTTAGCCTCCTTTATTCTGGAATATCCACAGTCTTTCTTTGTCCTGTATGACACTGCATTTTGGAATATTACAACCTGCCCTACTTTATTTTTTAACAGAATGTTCCTTATATTACATTTGTCTATGTTTTCTTGTGTTTAGTTTCAGGATATGCTTTTTAGACTGAAATACTATATAACCCATGCTGTGTCTTTCTAGGGTATCACATTTGAAAAGTACATAGTGTTCATCTGCCCCTCGTGGATGATGTTCATTATGAACACCAGTCAAGATATGCCCCAGTTTCTCCCCTGTATAATTATTACTTTTCTTCGTTGCTACTAATAAGAAATCTCTGGGGAGACACGCTCAGACCATGTAAGCACCTTACTCCCTACGCATTAATGTTTCCCACTGGATTTAGCATCCATTGGTGATTTTTGCCTAATCCAGTCTTGACTGTGGTGGTTACAGAATCATGATTTTTCCGAACCAGCATTCCCTCTACCTTTCCCAGCAGGCTGTTGGCATTCTGTCAGCAAAAGGCTTCCCTTCTCTTTTAATTAATTAATTATTGCTGTGAACTCACGAATTCCTTTTTTTCATCAGTGGTTTATAATTCATTACTGACCTTAATATTTTGGTACTCATATTGTCCCCTGTTTGGTCCTGTGTTCTTCTGACATGCCCCCACTGTGTTCCTGAGCGCTTCCTTACTTTCTGGTGTCACAGGACATCCCAGGCTCATCTGGCATCTACTTGCCTCAGCTCAAGTTTGTAATTTTGGATGACTCTTAATACAGTTATGCTCCTCAGGCCTAGAGCTTGTGAACTGGTGCAAGTTATCCTATGTTTTAAAAATCTAAACTTGTTTTCTATCATGGAGTCCTAGAATTAAAAGGATTTTGGAGATTATCTAGTACAACGCATTTCTTCATAGATAGGTAAATGGAAGGTGAAGTGACTTGTCTAAGTAATAGTGTTCTATTTTGCATTGTAAATAAACCTGTTTCTTTAAGCCAGAGTTTCTGAGAAAGTCATCCGCAGGTTTCAAGTGTCAGAATCACTAGAGGATCTTTTAGTGTTCGGATTCCTCCTTTCACCCAGACCTACTGGATTGGGATCTCGAGCCCAGGCACCTGAATTTTCCACAAGTTTCCCAAACATTTAAGTTTGAAAACCACTACTTTGAAAAGATTATTTATGTTAATGAAGGAGAACCATTATATACTGTTTATGGAAATAATGGATAAAGAACAAACTACAACTAAATGCCAATGTTAATTTTTAATAAATCTATAAAACAGACCCTTGTATTTCTTTGGTATAGGATAGCTCAGGTAAAACTTCTGCCTTTATGATGATTAGGTGGAAATATTTAACTTTCCTTCTAGAAAAGATTTATGGAATTCATGTGTACATGTGGGATTCAAGCACATTAACTCCAACAAATAATCTAACTCTGGTTAAATGTAGCCCTCAGCTAAAAAAAGTGGTTCTAGTTGAGTGCAGAAATACAGACATGGCCTTAATAATTTGGTGGAATATGGTTGTTGACCATTCCACCCATTATCTTGCAGGCATGTGCTCAGTCCCCATGTTCATTAAGAGACCCAGTCTTAGGGACCCATGCCCTTGAAGAGCCACGAGATCCAAGATTACCTTGCAGAGGAGCCCTGTTTGCAGCACTCCTACATTTAGGCTTATTAAGCTTATAATGGTCTGAGAGTGGGAATAAATACAAGTCACCATCAAAGATTGATTGCCCTGCCCTGGTGAAGTCATGGACCTCCTTATGGAAACCAGGGGCTGTTGACTGTCACAAGGTTGAGATTGTCTTAGGATGCTAAAGTTTCCACCTTAATGAAATGTTTTGTGAATATTTAAATCAATTTGAAATTGCAAGATGGAGTTTATTAAAACTGAAAAGAATAAAAAGGATAAACTACAAAATATGACAAAAACAAAATAAAATATTATATAAACAAACAAAAAAGTTAAATGAGCCACCAAAATTGATGAGGATGGGTCAGGTTATTGCCCTTTGCCAAGGTTTTATACCTACTTATTGCCAAGGGTAACCTTGATATAGGTTTTTGGAAAAAAATCCACCCTGCCCTCTATACTGTATAGTAAAGCCAATATTGAGCTAGACCTCTCTCTCCTCCTTCAAAGTGCTAGCTTACCACACTTTTATTTCATCTTAAATTGGTGTTTTGATGGTTTCCTGTATGTATTTTGAGAGTTGACCCATATGTGGGAATGGTGCTCACTCCTAACGCAGCTGTTACAAGTTTCTGGGACTCTGAGAACCTCTTTGCAGAATAAAATAGAAGTACCGGACATTTGCCAGTCAACAACTGAGGGTCAGGGAAAGAGCATCAGAGATCCACCACCCCCTTCATTTTAGTAATAATAGAAACATCAGTGGGCTCTTTAGGAATGTTAGTGAGATTCATGCCCCCATTTCAAATTCTCCCAGGCCTACTGCCAAAGGCATCTTGTGGACTCTGTAGGGGAAAACATGTCACCCAAGAGAATAGTTATTTTACCACCACAATGCGTGGGAGCACTATGATCTTGGAGAGGGTGTGGATCAGTATAAGCACCAATTGTATAGTGGTCCACGCAGCCAGGATGCAGCCATAGTCTAGCATGTGGGTAAGGGAGATGGGGGAGAGCTTGTGGGGCTGTAGAAATACTGGAAGACCCCACAGATTTGGATGCTCTCCTTTTTTGTAGTATGAAATGCTGCATGTTACGCCACCAATGAGCTCACCAGATGTCCTCAAGATGAGTCCTGTGGCTGATGCTGCTGGCTGGGTGGATGTGGATAAAGAAACTCTGCAGCACAAGAGATTCCCAAATGTGTTTGGGATTGGAGACTGCACCAATCTTCCTACATCCAAGACGGCTGCTGCAGTAGGTAAGATAGGAGCTATGTCTCTTCCCTCTCAAAAGGAGGTCACCCTAGGCACCATCATAACAGAAACAAAGTTTGGCCCGAACAGCACTCCATTAATAATGAAGAAACTTGTGGCCAAAAAATGACTTCACAGAAGCAAGTTGTCAATGAACTTAGTGTTGTGTAAAGAATAAAGTATCTGTTGAGTGCTTGACACCAGAGAAGATGACCTCTTCTGCCTTTTCTAGGGGGAGGGATTGTTTTCCAGGGAGAGGCTCTTCCAGAAGATGCCACCTTTCCAGGCCTCTGGAATTCTGGTACTTCTCATACTGCCACACTGGCATCCCTGGTCTTCTTTGCCCATGACACCATGCTGGTCATGGCTATTTTTCTTCTGCTTGAAACACTGTAAAGCTATAGAAGCATTAGTTTCCCCAGAAAACACATTCAAGTCAATGAAAGCTTGCAGACCAGAAAATTGTTCTGTTAGGACAAATACAGTGGAGCGTGCCCTGACTGGTACACGATTAAGGCCTCAACCTGGAAAACTAAATTCTTCACCTCTATGTTCTGCACTAGCAGTGATGAGGAGAATTGCCTTTTAGATTCTGACATCTATAGACAGGAACTGTCTTCTCCGGATGCTGTAAAACACAGAGCTCCCTGAGATAGGGACACCGGTTCTTTGTGTGATTCACATTCCAGCAAAACATGTGTTACTTTCTCTATTTCGACCTAAGAGAGGCTTTCCAGGAAACCGACTGAATGTCTTTTCTCTCATTTATAATAGTATCCCCCAACTTTTTATTTCAGTAAATTTCAAACCTATGAAAAATTTGAAAAAAAGTTCAGTGAATACCCATATACCCTTCAGGTAATGACACATTATTAAGATTTTGTGACATTTGCTTTATCACACAATGTGCCTTTTTTTTAAGCAAGTCATTTGAAAGTAAGTTTTGCCATCATGAGACTTCATTCTCAACTGCTTTAACCTGTATCTCCTAAGAAAGGACTTTCTCCTCTGTGTCCACAGACCATGAGCATGTCCAAGGAATCAAATGCTGTGTCATAAAATCATCTCATATTAAATCCTGTTCAAATTGCTCCAGTTTTCTTAAAAATGTCTGTGTTGTGCAGCCCACCCTCCCCTTTCTCCCTCCCCCCCATGCATGCTAATCTTAATACCCCCCTTCTTCTCCCCCCCCCATCCCTCCCTGCCCACCCATCCTCCCCAGTTCCTTTCCCTTTGGTACCTGTTAGTCCATTTTTGGGTTCTGTACTTCTGCTGCTGTTTTGTTCCTTCAGT